CCACCCACTCACCCCACACTTATTGAGCACCAATTATGTAGAAGCCCACTCTGAAGGTGGTGGGGTCACAAAAAGCTGATCCCCTTTAGCAGAAGAGAGAAAATGTGACCAAGTGCATGCAATCCGTGTGCACTGAGGTGATAGGGGTGCCAGAGAGTCCACAGGAAGGAGGCAGGTTCAAGGCTTTCTTGAGCAAATGGACAATGCTGAGCCCTGAAAGATGAGCAGGTAGGCCCTGTGCAGAAAGGTAAAGTGAGGCCCCTGGAGCCCGGATTTCCAAACGCTCCCACCCTCCTCTTGGCCTCTCCCCACTGAGATGTGCTAGGAAGAATAGGCGACCACGGGACTGGGTTCTGATCTCTAATCCAGCCCAAATCTCTGTGTCCTAGATAAAGTTCCACACCTCCCTGGGTCCAAGATAGGGAAACTCCTCAGCACCGGGCTGGTTTTTGCTTCCCAAGTAGGCACCTGCTCCAGTTACTTCCCCCTCCTGAACAGCCTGCCTTCTTCCCCTGAACCTTGTCCCATACCTCCTCCAGACTCCCTGGAACCCAAGCTGCCCAGTACCCCCTGTCTCCCCCAAATCTTTCCCACATACCCCTCAGGGCTGGAGCCTGTACATAGTCCTCAGGCCTCTGGTTTGTAATCCTTTCCTTCCCCCACTAGCCCTTCAGCTCCTGGTAAGCAGGGCACACAGGCCCTGCCCAGGACCCAAGGAGGATATGAGTGCTCAACGGAAAGAAAGTCTATGGGTGAGGCCGAGTCAGGGAACTGCCTAAGGAGATCTGACCCAGGATTCAGACAGGGCCATGGAGACATCTAGGTGCTCAGCCCTCTATAGTGACAGAGTCAGGAGTGGGAATCTATAGTGCCATGTCCCTAGGGATGGATAGGGTGCTCCAAGCTCTTGGCACTATTTGTCAGCTCAAAGTAGATGAGATTAGACAGACTTCGGGGGGGAGGGGACGGGGGCTGACAGCTCATACCAGGGTGAGAGAAACTGCTGTCATGGGCTGGCCACTCCTGAGGAGATCCCATTTGGCTGGGCATTCCATCTGGTCCGAACTTGGTGAACTGAACGAGGGACTGCAGGCTATGAGACCAGAGCTGCCTCCAACTGACTTCATGCTGGCTGAGCCAGCCCCCACCAGAGACAGTAACCTCTAGTACCTGGTCTGGGTAGGTACTTTGATAAATATGCATATCTCACTTAATCCTCAGCATCATCTCACCAGGTGAATATTATCTCTATTTTACAGACAAAGAAACCAAGGTCAATGGGCTGGTGGAGGGGTGAGATAGGGTAGGAAGGGCAGGTCCATCTCCAGCCTCAGAGGCAAGGAGCCCCACAGTCATTCAGGGTTGGTGGCAAACTGTGAACTTCTTTTAATGGAGAAGGAAACCCAGACCACAGAGTTAAAAAAGAGATTCAACAAGAAGTTCTGGCCACAGATCAGGACCATCCTGTGATGGCACCGTCACCAACCCCTGCCCCCAAGCAGAGACACTTAATACACTGGACAAAGCTCAACGCTCCAGCTCTATTGCTGGGAGTCAAGTGGCATCAGCATTTGAGACACTGGGCCTGGTACCAACTGGTTCAGCCTCCACCCCTGCTGTCCAGCGAACAGGGCCGGTGACTGTTCAGGGAAAGCTAGGCTGAGTTCTTCTTCTGGACACCAAAGAACAGTGCAAAAGATCCCACAAGCTGGGAAGGGAGGACAGAGCAGAGTCCCTGTTTGGTGCACCCTCCCCACACAGTTTTCCTAAAAATAACAAATCACCTTTCTGCTAGAAAGCTCTTAACCATTCAGGGCCGATATCACCTCATCATCTTCCGGTACCTTCCCTTCCATCCTACAGAGAACACTTGGGAGGTACCTGGAAGGAAGGCAGGCAGTGCAGGGGGTTCTGAACTAATCACAAAACGAATCTCACAATGCTGACAGGGGAGAGAGACTAAGGTGCCCAGTCCTGGTGTGTTCCCTGCACTGGACAAGTTCCATGGCAGATGTGTCATTCATAACTCACATTTGATTATCTGTGGTGTAATTCCCTTGCTAAGAAACTCTGGTTTCTAAGCTAAACCACAATGATTGCCTCCATTGTCACCAAATAGCAGCTGACATTTACCAAGCTCTTTTTACAAGCAGCTGCTGTACTCGGAGATTTACCTACATCAGTTTATTTAATCTTGCAATACTGTGAGATAGGTACTATTACCCTCATTTTATAGAGGAGAAAGTTGAAGCTCCAAGGTCAAACAACTTGCGCAAGAACAAACAGGATTCAAACCCTTTTTCCAGAGCCAAGCCTCTTAACTATTCATACCAACTCCCCCCAAAGTCCAGGAGACCTTGCTCCCAAAGAAGTAAGGTCTACACAGACTTTTTTTTTGTGTGTGTGGGGGGGGGGGGGGGGGGGGGGGGGGGAGGGTGGTACTGGTGATTGAATTCAATCCTTTTTATTTATTTATTTATTTATTTATTTTGAGATAGGGTCTTACTAAGTTGCCCAGGGGCTTGCCTTGAACTTGCCATCCTTCTGTCTCAGCCTCTAAGTCACTGGGATTACAGGTAAACTCCGTGGTCCCTGGCCTTTTTTTTTTTTTTTAAAGAGCAAGGTCCCAGAAAAAGAGCCCCAGACTGTGTGCTGCTATCCATTCAGTCACAGGTGATAAATGATGTTCATACCAGCTAACATTTGAGTACTTACTACATATGTCTCAGGCTTATAGTGAGGTGCTCTCCATATATTGTTTAATAAGGAAAAATTTTAGACTTTATATATTACATATAATTATAAAGTTATTTTTGTTATAATGTATTTAACAAATAACAAAGCTACATAGTAGGTGTGATCATTATTATGATCATCATCCCCACTTTGTAGCCAGAAATGTTGAGGCTTGAAAGAGGTTAAGCAACTTGCTACCATAGTGAAGCACAGCTAGTGGGACCAGCCACTCTACAGACTTACCTCTCTAGCAGTCTGACTTCCATCCCTGATGTGTTACAGGTTCTAATGGTGGAGGGGACAGTGTCCAAAAGTGACCTCCCTTCCACAGTCCTCACACCATCCCTCCCTGCCTTTCTGCCTTCTCTCTCCAGAGCCCTCTCCAGGAGGAGCTCCAGCTTGGGACCTGCCCACCACCCCTGCATCACCCAGTGGCAGTGGCCTGGCAGGCCACAGTGGACCACCCAAGCTCAGTGTCCAGCTCCTCCTACATAGTTAGTTAAGAGTCAGGAGAGGCGGGGGGAATTCACCATATACTCCACAAGTGCATAGGAAAACTCCCCCCAGCACACACCCATTAAATTGGGGCCTGTATGTCCACAGCTGTACATTCATCCACAGCTGTATTTTTATCTTCAGACTCATCCGGCTGACTCAAGCTCCATTTTGTGGGCATTTTTAGAACAACAGAGTCCTGGCTCCAGGACAAGCCTGGGGGGAGGTGATAAGGAAGGAATGGGGGTATGTGTGAAAAGGTCCAACAGAAGGGCCTGTGACCTCAAATTATGTCCACTTACTCCCTGAGACTTGTCACTCTATAGCTTTCCTCAGGCTTCCCATCCAGCCTCTTCCCCCATCCCCACCTGTCCCATGCCAGCCTCCTCTTGTTCAGGTAAGTCCACACAAGGCTATTTGCACTCTGAAAGGAGATCTGTTAAGTGCTTCAGGAAAGGGAGCCAGAAGCCCCCACAGCCTCACCCCCACCCCTGAGCAATGTTTCCAGGAGCCCAGCAAGGGTCACTCTGGGCCCCAGTCTATTGGCAATGTCAGGCTGCAGCTCCAGGGCAGCCGGGCAGCAACTGGGCTATTCTTAGTCTACCCTCCACCAGTACTAGGTCTGTGTAACAGCTGAAGGCAAGTCCTCACCAGGTACCCACTATGCCAAACCCCTCCCTACCCCAACTCCCTTGGGAAAAGAGGAAGCACCAGGGAATGCCCCCTGGCCAGAGGGAAAAGCTGAGCAGGTCAAGAGTGTGTGTCAGAAACAAGGAGGCAGATTCAGAGGTCAAGGGCAAGAGCAACTCCCAGGGCTCCACCGCCTGAAGGGAATGGGAGACTAGGGAAGGACTGAGCCTGGAGATTAATGGGGGCTTCTCCACCATGGCTATGCTGCTGCCCAAGCCTAGAGCTCTTAAGAAGCTGTAGGGAATGCCTAGCTTCACACCACCACACCTGTTTGCTGTTTACGAGAACTTCCCCCATCCCACCTGAGCCTTGGGAGACAGGAGCAAAGAGCGAGCTCTACTTTCTGTACCCCAGAAGGATGATGGAGCTCAATAGAGGGTACAGAAACACACACCTCAGTTCAACTCTACCCAAAGCCTGGACCCAGGACTAGCCCAGAAGGGCTCAGTCCCCTTTTCCTCCCTTAGTAACCATCTCCCTCTTCCCCAAGAAAGCTGGCCAGAGCTGAGCACCCCGGTCGTGGGCCCCTCTGCCGGCTCCCCCAAGTCCCGGACTGTGCGCGCCACGGTGACTCATCCTGCCCCTTTCCGGCGAAGCCCAGACAAGGGAAGAAAATAAATGCAACTTTCCAAAGAAAACTCTGACGCGGGAGGCTGCAACAGGAGCGAGCGGCCGGTTCGCCCGCCGTCTGCCCGGCCTGGGGCTCCGGGAAGGGGCCTCTCCGGGTCCACCCCTCCCGGCCCGGGACAGTCGGAGGACCCGGGCGCCTCCAGCCTAGCCCGCGCTCCACGGAAGAAAGCCGAGCTCAGCGGGGACCCCAGCAGGCGCCTGATACTCCGCACGCTCCCTTGGTAAAGCGGGGACCGCACCCCTGGGCGCCCGCAGCCCTGCGCTCTCCTCTGGGATTCGCTTGGGGCTCCGCGCGCAGTGGCCCCGCGCGCAGTGGCCGGGACAGCCACGACGCGGCCCCATCCCGCGGGGTGCAAAACACGCGACACCGCGGAGCTCGGCCGCACAACGCCCCTCCCTTTCCCGCGCTGGGACCCTGTCCCTGGGGAGAGGAGGGAGCGCGCTCCTACCTGGCGGAGGTGTGCGGCTGTCACCCGGGGCTAACGCGTGCAAGCTCGTCCCCCCCCTTCTTCCCCCCCACGCGCGCCAGCCGGCGGCTTTTAAATCTCCAGGTTACTCGGCGGGGGGGGGGGGGGGGGGCGGGGGCGCGGGGGCTCCCGGGAGGGGGGCGGGGCGAGGCGGGACGAAGGTGGGGGGTGCTGGGAGGGGGATGGAGGGGTGGGGCTGGTACCCAAGGGAAGAAAGCGGGAGGTCGCAGAAGCTGTCTTTGTAGCCGCGGCCGCGACGCGCAGCCCCCGCGTGGCTCCCAGACTGCCCTATCATTACCTAGGGCCGTGCACCGCCCCCTCTGCCGCTCGCCACCAAAATATTTAGGTAAAAGCCGCCCGGCTTTACCGGGCACCTCCCCTCCCTGGAGCCTGTCTGCGACCATTGCCCCTGCGCGCCTCTGGCCATCCCGCTCTTGGGGCGTAACTGCACCCCACCCATCCAGGACCTTCCCTTGCGAGATGTCACATTCTTACGAGTTACTCTTCCTACTGCTTCCTATTCTGCCACGCACATAGAGACAATTCAGTCCCTCTTTCTGCAGCTTAAAGCCAAACTCCAATTTTTCACTCATTAAGGATGTGTTTGGGGGAGAAGAGGGAATAAGTTGCCAGTAAAATGGTTCCTGTGTCAGCTGTTGAGCGAGGTCCCGACAGGTACCTGTTTCAAGAAGGTCTCTGACAAGAGTGGAATGATGTAGGTGGGAAGCAGGTAATTGGAGTTCCAGGCTGGCCCCAGGGTGGGAGGTGGGCCCCTTGTGTCTTTCTTCTTCCATGGAGTTTTATTGGAGTGGAGAGAAATACGATTTAGGCAGATTGTTGACTTGCATACTGTAGGCCCTCAGTATCAGCTGGTTCACCAAGCGCTGGCACTTTTCAACCAAAATCGAAAATATTAGGGAAAAAAAGTCATGTTATTGCTAATGTAGTTGCTAGGTAGTTAGGCCTGAGATGGTTTTGGTTGCATGTGTGTGAACAAGCACAGACTTTTTTTCTTGTCATTATTCCCTAAACAATATAGTACTAACAGCATTTTACACAGCATTTACATCCTAAGAAGTGTTATTAGTAATCTGGCTGTGAGGGTTTTAAGACTACAGGAGGATATGTATGGGTTTATATGAATATACTACATCATTCTATGTAGGGGACTTGAGCATCTATGGGTCTGGCTATCCATGGGGGTTCTGGAACTCATCTTCAAATACCTTGGTTAGCCTTAGGCCTGAACTGGGCACTGGTTTCCAATGCTGGCCCTGTGTCAACCAGCTTTGTGACATGGGACAAGTCTCTCCCATGTTGTGGGCCTCTGTGAAAAAAGGCAATTAGCCAAATGATCCCTAAAGCCACTTCCAGCAAGAAGGCAGAGGGAGACAGAGCAAGAAGGAGACAGGGAAGGGAGAGTGATAGAGAGGAGCCCTGCTGGTTTTGGGGAAGAGTGGGTATAGGAAAGGGCAGAGCCCCCCAAAAAAAGTCAAGAATCTACCTTTGAGTCAGTAAACAAGGTGAACTTGAAAACTGTTTCAGCATGGCCTCCCTGGGAGCATACAACTCCAGCTGCCAAGGACCCTGGTTTTCCAAAGTCTTTGTTGTACCCATTTGTGGCCAGCAGAGACTAGGGTGGAGTCCTGGGTCCCTGAACTGGTGTCCCCTCTGCCCCAGGAAAAGGGTAGGAGTCATGGGGAATTCCAGGTCAGCTGGAAAATTACAGAGCCAAGAGAGAGTGGACAGTGGCATTTTCCAGGCCTAGGAAGAAACAGTGGGGTCAGGAGAGAGTCCCCCTGCCTCGTCCCATGATGCCCAGAGGGCTATAAGTCCTTGTTTCCCTGCCTGGCACCCTCTCCCTGCCAGGAGCCTATGGGCCTTATGCCTTGTGACACAGGGAAGAGAAGGAGGGCTCCAGAGAGTGAGATTTTGGATCTCACCCAGGCAGCCACCTGAACAACTGCCCAGGCATCCTGCCCAGCAAGGGTCATACTTTCTTAACCAAACCAGGCAGATGCACTTTCCCCCACCCAGTCCCCAGTGCTATATGACATTCTGCTCTGAAAGTCTCCCCCTTCGGCTGATGTAGCCTCTTGTAATAATAATAATAGTTACCATTCCGGATTGTGCCTGCACTATTTCTAAATGCTTTTGTGTATTAGCTCATTCAATCCTTAGGAAAACCCAAGAGATGGGTAACATTTCCAGATAAACCGAGGCACTTTTTCAGTTTAATTACTTTCTTCCAACCCCCACTACACACACAAACACAGTCTCTGGGCTCCAGAAACAAGGCAGGGGCAGAAATCCCTAATCTAGTCTGGCCAGTGACTTCAAAGAAAGTTCTAACATCCATACAACTTACTCTCCAAGATGCTGTGTCCTTCTGGGCAAATAACAACTTCTCTGGACCTCAGTTCTTCACTACACCAGCTGTAGGAAAACCAATATGCCCCAGACCTTCCTCCTCTTCCCTCCCCCACAACACACACATGCATACACAAACCCTACTCCCTTGCTACTTCCCATTTATAGGAAATGGGGGATGACGTGAGGAGCAAGGCCATCCTTGGGGAACTGCTAATAGTCTGGTTGGATATTGGAGAAACCAAAGATGCTGGCAAATGCATTAGCTACTGCCCCACCCCCCACCCACAGCCTTTCCCCACCATCCCTGGGCTCCGCACAAGCATCCTCATTCTACAGAGATAACATACAAGCCGGGGCTGGTTGGCCTCACAGAAAGCTGAGAAGCTGTGAAGGACCTGGAGTTCCTGTGATGTTCTTCTCTCTCGCCATCTCCATCATCTAAGGGCTGAGGTCCATTTCGACATCTGTTTGTTTCTTCCCTGCCTTCTTCAGGATGAGGGTGATCAGTCTATTGAAGCCTAAGGACCACCAACATGGCCAAATCCTGTCTGAGGACTTGGAAGGAGGAGGAATGTGTCCCCTGGGCACAGCAATTCCTTTTCTGAGATTTCTCTTGAAGCAATATATATATATATATATATATATATATATATATATATATATATATCAGATGTAAGAGATGTTCATCCCATCATTCATCATTCTCTATAATAATAAAAAGTTAGAAATGATTTAAGTGTAGACTAATAAGAATATCAAGCCACTGCTAAATAAATTATGGCAAATCCACACAATAGAACACTAGGCTACCAATAAAAATGACAGCACAGAAGCTGGTGCGGTGACGCATGCCTATGATCCCAGCTACTTGGGAGGCTGAGGCAGGAGGACCACCAGTTCAAGACCAGCCTGGGTAACTTAAGCGAGTTTTTTTTTTTTTTTTGGTACCAGGAATTGAAATCAGGGGCACTCAACCAGTGAGCCACATCCCCAGCCCTATTTTGTATTTTATTTAGAGACAGGGTCTTACTGAGTTGCTTAATGCCTCACCATAGCTGAGACTGACTTTGAACTCACAATCCATCTGTCTCAGCCTCCCAAGCCGCTGGGATTACAGGCATGTGCCAGCTCACCCGGCAAGCCTCTGTCTTAAAATAAGAAATAAAACAAACAGGGCTGGGAATATAGTTCCATGGTAGAGTGCTACTAGGCTTAGTCCCCAGTATGGGAGGGTGGGGGTGGGAGATGACATAGGTTTGGGGTTGTAGCTCAGTGGCATAACACTTGCTTGAGGTCCTAGCACCAAGAGAAAAAGAGAGAGAGAGAGAGAGAAGAATTTTATTATTTTTTTTTTAAATTTACCCTTTATTTTATTTGTTTGTTGTTGTTTGTTTGTATGTGGTGCCAAGGATCGAAGCCAGCGTCTCACCCGTCCTAGGCAAGCGTTCTACCACTGAGTCATAACCCCAGCTCCAAGAATTTTAATTTTTTAAGGGGCAAGAAAAAAAAAATTAAATGAAAGACAGAAAGAGGAATGAGCAATGAACATGTGACTCCCTCCCACCCTGTGTGGACTCCCACCCTCCTTCTGTCTGAAGGGCTAAGGGTGGGGAAGTTAGGACCAGAAGCAGAGGGCCAGCCCTGAGCCTCTTTTTACCCAAAAGCACCAGGACTTTGAGCTGAAGAAGTGTAAATGAAGCAGAGTTTAAAAAAGATGAAGAACCACCTGCAGGAGGTTATGTATCCACACTGCTCAACCACGTTCCTCCAGCACCCAGCGCTGGGAGGTGAAGGGTGATTTCCGGGACACAAGAGGAGGACCCTGAGAGAACTGGACTCTCCCTCTTCTTTTTCAAAATCCAAGTTTGGGAATGACTGTGGCCTTTGATTCTGGAGGTCACCACTGCCCCACCCTATCACAGGACAGGGGAGCCCTAGGCTCACTGACAAGTGAGTCTCTCAGCCCACAGCTGGGGACACTCTGATCTGAGGGGCCCCCATGCAGGGAAGATTTTAAAACAACAACAAACATGATCTTCAGGGTGCTTTCTTCAGGAAGCTTCTGACAGTGAACAAGAGAAGTCCTTGTACATAGAGAACTTTCCTCTGAATTCAACTTCCTTCAGAGGACTCTTCCTTCCCTCTTTCCCATCCAGACCTGTAGGGAATCAGTGGAGAGAAACAGATTCCTCCCAAGCAGAAAGACCCAGCTAAGCAGAGAGCAGAGGTGGGGCGTGCTGAGCCCAGACCTGCCTTGGAAACGTATTGGCTTTTCTACAGGCACAGTCACAGTGTTGAGAAGAGATGGCTTCAGAGGACAAACCCAGGGCTTTCGGGCACCAGGTAGGGGGCGAGGCTGGATGAACACAGCAGTCCTTTCCATTCCTGAGATCTGGTCTCCTTCCAGGTCCCAATCTCCTGTCAAAGGTGAGAACTGGATCTTCTAGCCCCCTGTAATTTAGGGACATCAGCAAACTTTCTGCTTCCCGGAGCAGATTGTCATCATCATGATGGCAGAAGCTGTATCAGGTGGGTTTTTTTTTTTTTTTTTTTTTTTTTTGCTTTGCAGTGCCAGGGATGGAGCCCAGGGCCTAGCCTCACGCATGTGCTGGGCAAGTGCTACCCCGCAGCCCCTGTGTATGCTCCACCTCAGCACGACATCACATTTAGGATTCTGTCCAGAAGAAAGAAACATGCTCTGAGACCCTTCTCTA